AAAAAAAGGAGGAGGATTGGCAATAGATGTTAGCTCAGAGCCAGTCTTCCTCAGCAAAAAGAGGAGGATTGGCACAGATGTTAGCTCAGGGCTGATCTTCCTCACAAAAAAAAAAAAAAAAAGGAAAGAAAAGAAATATTTTAAGAGACACCACAGCACAGAAATAGTAACAGGCATCATTTATTGAGTGTTTATTATACGCTAAGCACTATGTCATTTCATTTACTTCTCACACAGCAGATACCTTACAATTGATATCCATATTGGCTTCAAAAATAATTGTTCAAAAATCAGATGTGCAATACTGGGCTAACAGTGGTCACAGGACGGATTCAGTAAATCCGGCCTGTTTTCAGAATTAACAATAGCAGCTACTCTTTTTTTGAGTACCTACTACAGGTCAGGTCTTTTATATAAATCTCTTCAATCTCACAGCAGTTCTGCAAAATAGAATAAGAATACTCATTTCGCAGAGAAGGAAATTTAGGCAAAGAGGGATAAAACAACTTGTCTACCAAGAGCACATTAGCAGGAAGTCACAGAGCCCGAGTTTGAATCCAGATTTGCATGATTCAAAGCATGAGCACTTTCCACTGGACAGAAACAGGCCAAAATGGATCTTCTAGCTTATGTTTTGTGCCAGTGTCAGGGGCTCTGACTATTTTGGGCAAGAGTGGCCCTAAGGATCACAATAGGGAAAGGTAAGTTGCAGACATATGGAAGGAACTGCTTCCATTTTGGTAAATGCTAGTAATTGGTTCTTGCATTTTTAGGATTGGTAGAATTCTTTTTATGCACAATGCAAATCAGTCTCGGTCATGATCTCTTTTCCCCTTAGGCCAAAAGAAAAATCAAAACCAAACGTATGGCTCAGTATTAACAGACCCATGACTTGAATATCTATATCCAACTCTCCTACTCTAACATGGATTTTTCCTGGTCTTGAATTTTTATTTATCTTAATTTTCAATATTATGACATACTTTTAATAAGCAAAGTTACCTTAAATCCCCTTTCCGTACACTAACTATTCTCACACTAACTCCTCAACCAATTCAGGCTTCTTTAAGGGAGGAGGAGATGGAACAGAAGGCCAGAAGTTAGAATTCTTTACAATGTGGCATACTGGACACAAGCTTGACTATGAGCAACAGCAACCCTCAGGCATACATTCTGTGTATCTTCTGTTTCAATTCAGAAAAAGGTAAATGTGCTATAGTTTATTCACCACCACCCGCCCCCCCACAGCTATAACTCGCTCTTGCAAGAATGTAAAATTATAGGGAAATTGACTCTGGGAGGAAAATGACTTTTTAAAGGAATAGTAAAACAAAACCCTAAGGCAAAGACCATTATTTTCCCTGTAATTCTGACCTATTAACTTCCCATTGGCATTGACTCAACAAGTAAATGTTGGGCAGTTTCTATTGTATTAACAAAGCTGATTTCTAATACCTGTGTTACCAAGTTTGATTAAATAGTAAGGCAAACCACAGTCATTTAAGTAAAGACCAGGGAGCACCAACGCCGCATTCCGAATCAATATGAGGTGTTTTGTCTCTCACAAGCAAGGACGCCAGGAGGTAATGATTTCCTGCTTTAGTAATTGCTGTGCATCTGCATAATCACACTGCTATCAGGTATAACGATATGCCGTGAACAGGCTTGCACATTACTCAATTGCCTGATAATTTATAATATATTCAGAGACCAACGAAGCATCTTGTTTGTACAGATACGACATCCTTTTATGTAACAGTCAATGAAAGGAAAAAGATATTTAATAAAATGTCAAGATATTTTTTAAGATTCCAACATGCATATCATAAGAAACATTTATTTGAACATATTACTGTGCCTCAAAAATGGTGAAGTCAGTGCAATATTTATCATAGATAGCACTATCACCCATAAAGTGAGTCCATAAATACTTAAAATGTAGATGTTAAAATTTCAAAGTGATTAATAAAAATTAAAGATGCTAAATTATAAGCATTTCTTGACCGTTCAGCAGGATTTGACCCCATTCAACACTCCCTCCCCTTCTTTACACTCTTTCTTCCCACAGCTTCCCCAGCACAAGATTCCCTTGTTTTGCCTTCTGCCTCTCTTTGGTGCTCTGTTTTTGGCCCTTTTGCTGGCAGCTCCTCCTCTACATTAATTGTGAAAGGTCCTCGAGGTCTGTCTTAAGTCTTTCTCCTTTCTCATTCTATATTCTATCCCAAAGCACACCCACAACAGTTTGCTTGTTTGTCATCTGTCTGTCTGTGACTCCCAAATGAGCGTTTCCAGCTCCATTTTCTCCTGTGAATTCTAGATCTACGAGATCCACTGCCCACTTGACCTTTCCTCTTGGGCATTTCAATGTGTGTAACTTCTCTATTCTCTTGCCTTTTTCTCACCCTCCCCTCAAAATACCTTGTCCTTAACTAGTGTTCCCTGTCTCAGTGAATGATGTCACCATCCAACAGGGGGACCAAGTACAATCTTGAAGATGATTCTTTTGTGTTGTTGTTGTGAGGAAGATCAGCCCTGAGCTAACATCTGCCAATCCTCCTCTTTTTTGCTGAGGAAGACTGGCCCTAGGCTAACATCCATGCTCATCTTCCTCCACTTTATATGGGACACCTGCCACAGCATGGCCTGACAAGCAGTGCGTCGGTGTGCGCCCGGGATCCCAACCGGCGGACCCCAGGCCGCTGCAGCAGAGCTCGTGCACTTAACCACTTGCGCCACCAGGCCGGACCCTGAAGATGATTCTTGACCCTTCTCCTTTCACTCACCTTCATATCTTGTTTATTCTTATGAATTAATTTATTTACTACTATCTGTTTCACCTTCTAGATATCTCTGAAACCCATTCTTACCTCTCCTTCTGTACTTTCCAAACTCTACTACAAGCTATGGTCACATGTCACGCAGTCTATTACTACAATAGCTCCCTAACTGGTCTTTGTATGTTTATACTGGCCTCCCTAAAGTCTTTTCTCAACAGGCTAGCTAAAGCGATCTTATCAAAATGCAAATCAGATCATATTATCTCCCTCTCCTTGCCAAAATCCTTCAAGAGCTTCCTACTACTCTTAGGAAAAAGCCCAGGCCCTTGATAGGGCCTCTGCTCAGTCTTGTTGCATTTTCTGGCTTCTAGGCTTCTCTGCAGCCCCATCTCGTACTGTGCTCCCCAGACGCTTCCGGGCCTCACCACACTGTCCATCTGATAGGTCCTCAGATTCATCATGTTCCTTCCTGTCAAAGGGCTCTTCACTTAACTGTTTTGTCTCCCTAGAAAAGGGTTCCCATCTCTTTGTAGTGTAGTTAATTTTGACTCAATATCTAGGTCTCAGCTCAAGCGTTATTTCCTCAGAAGAGCCTTCCCTAACTATGCCAAATCTCCTAATTGGGCTCTCTTAACAGTCCTTGTCACAATTTTAATTTCACATTTGCTTATGTCATATTCAATTATAACCTGTCTCCCACACTAGACTATAAGTTCCAAGACAGCTGGGATGCCTGCTTTTGCTCACTACTGTAACCCTAGTACCTAACACTGCACCTAGTGCACAACAGATTCTCAAAAAAAGCCTTTGAACAAATGAATGAATATTAAAGTATCTAACTCAGCACTATTATTACTAAAAACAAAAACTAATAGACTATTGTTAGGATATTGGTGTATCAGAGATGTATAACGAGAGAAGGTACCAAGATACTGCTGGTCTAGTATAGCTCAAAAGGAAAAATGAAATTGTACTTTACAACTTCAAGATTCTTCTAAGATAGACTCTGAAAACAAAGACATGAAAATAAACTTACACAAGAATTGTGTGCTTACCCGCTGTCAGTGAATAGGAACTCCAAATGGGTCATAAAAACTTCCCAACGGGAGACACTGTAACGCTGTGCCAGAGAAAGAGCAATACTGTAGACGTTTTCCTCAAGTGTTCTTCAAGAATGTCCATCAGCCAAAGGGAAGGGAGAGAAAGAAACACATTACCTTAATCAGCAAAGAAAATGTTCTTCAGGATTGCTCTGCAGCTGAGAGGGGTTCAGTCAGCATGGTCCTTAATAAGACATTTCACAGTAATTCAGGAAAAGTACTTCTAAGGAATTTTAACGCTCCTTTTTCACTGTGGTACATTGAAATTGACCAAGGAATTGCCTAGACCAGGGGTTCTCAACTGAGGGTGATTTTGTCCCCCAGGGGACATTTGACAATGTCTGGAGACATTCTTGATTGTCACAGTGGGAGAGGAGGAGGAGAGTGCTACTGGCATCTAGTGAGTAGAGATCAAGGATGCTGATGAACACCCTACAATGCACAGAACAGCCCTCCCACAACAAAGAATTCTCCAGGCCAAAATGTACTGAGGTGAAAAAAATTCTGGTCTAGACACTAGAGCCTATAGTCAAAAACAGCATGAAGGAGGGGCCAGCCCGGTGGCGCAAGAGGTTAAGTGTGAACGCTCTGCTGTGGTGGCCTGGGGTTCGCTGGTTCAGATCCCGGGCATGTACCGACGCACTGCTTGTTAAGCCATGCTGTGGCGGCGTCCCATATAAAGTAGAGGAAGATGGGCATGGATGTTAGCCCAGGGCTAGTCTTCCTCAGCAAAAAAGAGGAGGATTGGCATCGGATGTTAGCTCAGGGCTGGTCCTCCTCACCAAAAAAAAAAATAGTGCAAAGGAAATGCATCCCTGCCTTATGGGTAGATATTTTGAGAAAGCACAGTTAGTCACTCAACAAACTTTTATATTTTCTATACTGTGCCAGGTATTGTGCTAGCTGCTTAGGATATAAAAACAAACAAGACATTTCTTGAGGAACTCACAGAACTCCACACAGTCTAGTGGAGAATATGAAATGTGAACTAGTAATTAAATACAATGGTGGCAATCCTAAAAGAGAAGACTACAAAATACTGTGAGAATAGAGATGAGAGAATGACCAGTTGGAGCTGAAGACTGAAGGATAAACAACCATTAACTAAGCAGAGGTCGTAAAGAGGGAGAAGAGACAGATGGCCTTCTGACAGAGAAGGTAGAAAGAGGGGTCACAATTAGGAATGTATAGGGTCCTCAGGCTGCTACAGGACCTGTACTTTATCCTACAGGCAATGGAGAGCCAGCGGAAGGTTTAAACCAGGGAATGGCATGACCAGATTTGAGAATCTCTAGGCATATAAGGAATTCTGGTCCAGAGCACCCATATTGAGGCCATTTTGGAGAGACTATTGCAGGATCTCTATTTCTCAGAAGTAGAGAACTGTATGATGGAATTCTTGGAAGAATGGTGGGCAAAATCACAGACGCAGGAATGAAATATGTTATTATTAAGTAATACTGCTAAGACTATATTTACCCTAGCTAAGGAAACTAGGATATTTATATGTTTGATTAGCTGTGGGCTGGCAAATGTTTTCTGTAAAGGGCCAGATAGTAAATCTTTTAGGCTTTGCTGCCATATGGTCTCTGCAGCATGTTCTTCTTTTTATTGTTTTTCCACAAACTTTTAAAAATGTAAAAACCATTCTTTGCTCAGGGACTATACAAAAGAGGCCAATGGTTGGATTAAGTCTGTCAACACATGGATTATTAGGTCATTGTCAATTTAAAATTATTTCTTAAAGTATTTATTGAATCTCTACCTCCACATGATGGAAGGAGAATTCCTGAGAAAGGGGACCATTAGCAATTCATCCTTTCTATTACAAGAGACTAGCATATTGCCTGACACCAAGTACATGCTCATTAAGTATTGATATCTTTATCACTTGATAAAGGTGGGAAGAAACCAAACTATGTTATGCCCTCTTCAAAGTTACCCTGACTAACCGTCGAGAATGTATTATCTAAGATATACAGACAATAAAGGACAGATATAATGCACTTACAGAAAACTGCCATTAAAACGAATATATGATTAACAAATAAAGAATGGTCATGTTGTGTACAACTGAAGGTAGAGCTGCAAAACAGGAGGAAGTATGTCCTTCAACAATTCTTGTATGTAAGACACTAAAATCCCATCTCCAAACAGTACTACTAACTCAGAAAACCCATGGACATTTGGAGACATTTTAAATAAGCCATCCAAAGACTGTTCTATTTTTCTAAGCAACAGATTGTGGAGAAGATTCTATTATATATTTATCAAAAGCATGTATTTGTCCTCCAGGATATACTTCAAATAGCATATGCTAGCCAGATACTTAAAAAAGAAAATAAAGGACAAAAACCCTAGCAAAATGTAAAAGTTTACATGCCTTATCTTGTAAACTTTTATTCTGCACAATAACCCTCTTCTAAGAAATCATAAGCATGGCACCGAGGATTACCAAATGCCCAAAGGAAAAGCCTACTGGACTTGGAAATACGAAGCCCAGGCTCAACTCCTGGCTGTGTTAGCTTGAACAACTCTTCCGAGCTCTCTGGTTCTCAGATTCCTCTTCCAAAAGTGAGGAGGTTAGATTAAATGATCTCTTCAGTTACTTTCAAGTTGGACATTAAATGACTCTATGAAATTATGAACCTCCAGGAGAACAGAGGGCAAGAGAAAAGATACTCATATTTCCCTTCTTAACTGAATCTCGCTATAGGCTGTTCCTACTATCTTTCTTTGATCTCTCTCTTTCCTGCCTTACTCTAAAGAGAATTTGGGGTATCTTGTAGAAGGAAAGAAGCCCAGGCTAATATGAAATTCTTACAGAATACCAAGGCTACTTTGCCACTTTCTTAAAGATTTAAATAATAATGCTGAAAAATAGCACATACCAGGACTATCTTTGTTATTTTAAAGAAACTTATCAGGAGAGAGGAATAACCATTAAATCTAGGCACAAGTGAACCTTAGTTTCAAAGGCAGGAAGCTTAGACTGAATTGCAGGCCAATGCTTCCTTGAGGACGCGATCAAGCAGTGCGGGGGAGGGCACCTGGTGCTGTGGTGAAGATGCAACGGCTTCGATACGCGACAGATCAAGGTTAAAATCCGAGTTGTGATCCTCATCACCTAGGTAAACTTGGGCCAGTTCCTTAATATCCCTAAGCCTCACTTTCTTCAGCTATAAAACAGGGATAACAACATGTATGTCATAGGGTTATCTTTGAGGATTAAAAGATGTTTATAAAATAAACTTTACAGAGCACCTAACACACTTCCTTGCCCATAGTAAGCACTCCACAAGTTGTGGTGTTAAAAACAAAACACCTCGAGGCCAGCCCAGTGGCGCAGTGGTTGGGTTTGCACGCTCCACTTCTGCAGCCTGGGGTTCGTGGGTTCGGATCCCCGGCGTGGACCTACACACCACTTATCAAGCTATGCTGTGGCAGGCGTCCCACATATAAAGTAGAGGAAGATGGGCATGGATGTTAGCCCAGGGCCAATCTTCCTCAACAAAAGGAGGAGGATTGGCAGCAGATGTTAGCTCAGGGCTAGCCTTCCTGACCAAAAAAACACAACAACAACAACAAAAAACCTCTACTTAATAATAATAACCATTGTGGGTGAACATACTTTCCCACCTTCTTCTTTTTTGTATTTTTTTTTTTTTTTTCCACTATCCCACCTCCTGACATGTAAGTAATTCTCATTTGATCTGAACTCACTGGATCTAAAAAACTGGAGACCAGTATTACAACCCAGGGGAATTCTATACCAAGAAAGGAAATCTTCTCGCTGGGCCTTGCACGGCACTGCCATCTCACACAGGGCTTGCTCTTCTCTTCAAAGGGGTAAGCGAAGGGGAAAACGTGACAGCTGCTACAGGCCTCTGACAAGAGACTGCTAGAGCCAGTTAGCTCTTCTTTCTCTAGAAACCCAGGACAGATAAAGGTGCCCTGAACCCACAACACTGGGTCCTTCCTCTGGTATTAGGTCAGCTGTATCTAATTTTTAACATAGTGAAGAAATTAAACTGCCATGTAGTTTGAAAAGTGCGATTTCCAGCCAGGAATAAAAGGTAATCTTGCTTTTAAATTTACCCTATTCACCTCTAACACGGTAATAATCTTGGTATTGGGATATCAAAATCATGGGAAACTTTTTTTTTAAATAAATCCTGTCCTTACTATTTAAATCCACGGGCTCAAAACGTTGTTTGCATCTACTGATCCATTTGGGAAGACACACACACTCCTCACACAATCGGAAGAAGTAGCGGAAGCCCTGTTTACAGTAACCATGAATGTAAATCTTCAAAGGACTGTGATTAACAGTCCTGATAATTCAACTTGTTCTTTTACACTTTAAACCCATCCCTTTACGAGACAAAGGCATCCCTTACTCTGCCAGACCAAGGATAGTTTCCCTTTTATACTGGTCGTCTGCAGTAAACCGCTGCACATCCACCCCCTTCCGCAGGCCCTGAAGGATGTGAGCCTGAGTGAAGTCCAGCAGACGCTCGTTGTAGTGGTGCAGCTGCTTAGTCAGGGAAGCAAGATCCTCGGGCCAGGCTTCACGTCCGCATCGAGTCACGTGCCTGGTGACCATCTTGATTAGCTCTTTAGGATCAGCCTGTAGGTAACAACAATAACAAAAAAAAGAGTAACAACAGGAAGACCATGTCCACTGGGCACCTGTTTGGCCCTTCGCACTGTTGCCATTTAATCAAGGCTCACAACCACCCTGAGAAGTCAGCTGCAGAGGTGGCACATTTTGCAGACCACAAAGGCAGGACACAGAACTGAGTCTAGAAGCAGTTTTCTGGACTCCTGCTCTGTTCTTCAACTTCAAAAATCTCCACTCACTTAAAAAATAATATACGCTTGCTTTTTCAACTACCATCGTCCTATATCAGATTTGTTCCTCAATTACCTGATCATTTGTAATAATTCACCCTGGAAGTAATTTTCGTCATCATTGCCCCTGGATAAATTTTCTTTGAACCACCATCTAAGTGCTCTCAATAACAAGGTTGCAGTTCAACAACCCCACTATAAATGCCTAGACAGCTAAGTAGAAGTGTGTTTTCTTTGGGGGTAAGTTAGGGAAAAAAATCCATTCCTGTTCCTGAAGTCATAAACACTTCTAGTTGCATAAGAAAGCATCCAACCAATTTTTACTCTGCTCAATTTGGGGCTCAATGGGATACTGTTCTATAATTCTTAGCCACTTCTCTAACAACAATAAAACTATTCAAATAGAACAAAACTCAGAACCCAAAATAAATGATTAAATGGCCACATTTATGTATATTAAAATTGGTCTGGGTGTCAACAAAGCAATAGCAGCTCAGCCATGATTTTGGAATTACTTAACAGAGAGCCTAATACTTGAACAACAGTTAACTCAATCACTCCCAATTATTGGGAAGACATGGTATATATTTTAATATAAACAAATTAGGAAATAACTCCAGAATCTACCTTTGGTTCTCAGAAATGTACCTAATTATAGTAAGCTGTCAGCATTTCTAATGTATAAGCCATTATTCTGAGCTACACAGGAGATTTGTCAACGTCGAGTCTATATTACCAAACCTAGCCTGACATTCTCTCTCTTGATCTTATTAAGGAACAATCTGGGAGTATAGATAAAAACCAATTAAAGAAATCTTCTTGGATTCCAGCAGGTGGATTTGAGAAAAAAATCAACCTTTTATACTGAATTTTTTTCCCTACTTCTATGCATACACTGAGGCCTATTCTCAAAAACCATAGATACGTGTCTCAAGTCAAAAGACTTGGGTTTGAAAAGTAACTCTTCAGGGGCCGGCCCCGTGGCTTAGTGGTTAAGTGCGCGCACTCTGCTACTGGCGGCCCGGGTTCAGATCCTGGGCACGCACAACGCACTGCTTCTCCGGCCATGCTGAGGCCGTGTCCCACATACAGCAACTAGAAGGATGTGCAACTATGACATATAACTATCTACTGGGGCTTTGGGCAGGGGGAAAAAATGGAGGAGGATTGGCAATAGATGTTAGCTCAGAGCCAGTCTTCCTCAGCAAAAAGAGGAGGATTAGCATGGATGTTAGCTCAGGGCTGATCTTCCTCACAAAAAAATAAATAAATAAAACTGTAAAAAAAAAAAAGAAAAGTAACTCTTCAAAGTAAGCTATAAGACCAGCTTTCATTCAACAAATATTTTTTGTGCACCTCTTATGTACCAGGTGATGTACTAAAAAGATGTGACCTTCCCTTTCAAGAATGCAGTCTATTAGGAAAGGCAATCAAGCAAACAAATGTAAAATGATGTGATACTGGTAAGCACAGGGTGCTATGAGAGTACAGAGGTGTGGGACTTGGGCAAGTCTCCAGAAGTCTTCTTGGAAGAGTTAATGCCCAGGCTAACTACTCAGGTATCAGTAGTAAAAAGGCCAGCAAAAAATAGGGAGGCAAATTCCAGGAAAGAGCAGAGTATGTGCTAAGGCCTAGGTGGCTAAGACCAAATAGAAAGATGGAGTGAATAAAGCAAATCTAATTGCAATTAGAAGTGATTTAGGAATCAGCTGCAAATGGACAGTATTTCTGGCAATGGATTTAGGCAAAAAACGAATCCCACGCCTCCGTTCTTAGTGCCTCTACAGCTGACATTTAACTCAACCCCCTTTCTACTTATTGACTGAAGCCATTGAGGCACCACCCTGAATCGCTTTACCACGGGCAAAGCCACCTCTGAAGTTATCTGGTATGGGGATGCTGCTCAGGGGCCAGCCAGCCCATCTATACCTGCTCTGCATCCTGCATGTGCACTGCTGGTGCCTGCTCTTCTCATGCCTCATCTGGTTAGCACTTTTCTGCCTAGAAGTAGAGCAAGTGAGAGCAAATGTCCAACAACCAGGATTTCAGGGTGGCAGGAGAGCTCTTCTGTAGTTGTTCTTTCACGGAGCTCTTTGTGCCCCAGTTTTGCACTCCATCAGCAGACCCATGTTCACCGAAACAACAAAGAAGGCTTTTTTCACATATACTCTGACCCTGTAGTTTCAGACTAAAGCCCTCAGCCTGAAATTGCCCAATGCACTTTGAAGAAGAGGCTATAACCATCCAGCCTCTCTCTGTGTGCCCCTCTCTACCAGGCTATTGTTTCCCACTCCCTACTCACGGAATCAACCACCTTCATTCTCCCAAGGATTTCTCACAGTTTTTGCTCCACATTCATTTTTTACTTTTTGTTTTCTGGCATCTCAAGGATTTGGTATCTGTACCGGGAGAGTAGCTTACAAACTTTGCTGTTGACCTCAATAGTATAACACCTCCTCATTTCTGTTCTCTTTGTATTTTATACTATTTATGAAACAAATCCCAAGACCAGATAGAGAGTAAAGCTCCAAAATGGTAGCACATAGCAATAATAAGTATAATTACTAACATTTAGATAGGATTTTCTTCATCCTACAGAAAGTTTCAAGTTTCCATGTACAACCTTCATTTTCATATGTGGCAAAAAGAATCTATTCTCTCCTTTTGCCAATGAAAACAATGATAGCATAGTGAAATACGCATGGACACGCGGAAGTTACTAACTGGATGACCTTGTACAAGTGACAACAACTATGAACTTGATTGTCTCATTTATAAAATGGCAATAATGATATGTAGCTTTGCATGGCTTTGAGAAGCCTAAGAGACAATATATATAAAATACACAAACCAGGGCCTGGCATGGAGTAGGGGCTCCAAAAATGAAAGTGATTATGGAATTTACTCAAAGGCAAACACACTTTAACTGTACCTCTATTATATAATATAATTTACACAGCATTTTCTTATAAATATTAAATTATAGCTTCTGGATGGCAGAAATCATGTGTACTTCGTGAATTTGTCTTTTCCAGAGCACAGTGGAGTCTTGCACAAATCAGGTCTGGGGTAAAAGGGAGACACACTGAACAGTAGTAGTGGCTTTTAGTCAGTAGTACTAGTTTATATTCCAGCTCCCTTACTTAGCAGAGAAGCATCTTGGGGCAAGTTACTTCATATCTCTGTTTCCTCACCTATAAAAGAGTCAATAAGCACACCCTCCTCACGGTTTGTTGTGAGGCACCAATAAAGAGAGGTATTTTAAAGCACTCTTTTCTCCATTACTATACGAAAGCAAATTGGACCCAGAGCTTACTCACAAGGAATTAAAAACTAGTGATTAACAAAGATGTATACATAAACAATTCACAGAAGGCATGTGAATATAAGCACCATTATAGAATCACACACCCAGAATGCTGGGAACTCCACAGAGGGAGCAATTAATCCCCTCTCTCGACTCTTGGGGTTCAGTTTCTTCAGATGTAAAACAAAGGAGCATCACCAAATGATCACCTTTCTAGGACTAAAATCCTATGAACATATAAGAATTCAAACACGAAAATAAAATAAACCCTTATAAATCCCTCCAGGTGTGGAATTGGGAAGTTCTACATCTCATCTCCTTTATACCTCCACTAAATATTCAGAACAGATTTCTTCGTTAAAATTATAATTTCAGAGCAACAAGTTATGGACAACAGATTCCTACGCAGTTTAAACAACTTGAATCTCTGTTCCTTTACAAAGTAGAAATTGTCTAGCCCCTCTGTCAATAATTTTTATTTCATATTCTTTGTACATCAAATATGTTCACCTTTCTAAGAAATATTTAAGAACTAATACCTAATATTTCAGTCTTCAGTATGAAACAGGCACAGTGCTAAACCTACATGAACCGAATCTCATTTAATACTAACAATCCTATGGGACAGGCGTCTACTAGTATCTTCTATTTTACAGATACGTGAGGAGGTGAATGACTTGACTAATGCCATTTGGGGTAAGTGGCAGAGTGGCGCTATGACTCCCAAGCATAATGCCTCCCAAGAACCATCCTTTTATATTTGGTATGCAGGGAGAGGTATCTCTTAAAATTATAAGGGTCTTAATGAGACCAGTGTATACAAAGCTCCTACCAAATGTTAAAAAGACTTGGCATTAGAGTCCTTTTACAAATGATCAATTTTCAATGATGGAGATTCAATGCTGTCACTCTACATTATATCCACATTGACTTTTTCTCACACATATTCTTCCTCTCATCCCTTTTATACATATACACACACGTGTATAAATACAAATGACCAGAGAGGACACATAAAGGTAGGTATTCAACTAGATATCTGATTTGAGTTGTATTTCTAAGCCTTTCATTTTTTCTTCTCTAATGTTAACAAAGAGAGTTTTAGAATCATGAGCAAGAATATTATTTCCTGTTCAACCCCTTGATATAAATATACTTCCTTTTAAAATTCTGTCCTAATAAAGTAGTGAATAGGGGCATTCTATTAATTCCTTGATGATAAGTTTCTAAGTGTCTTCAAGTTATGGATCATCAAATATTTGTTAAGTGTATAGGAAGATTTTCAATACTTCAATTTATTGTGTAAAAAATAATATTGAGAAGAGAATTCACAAAGGCTTCCAAGAAAAAGGAAAATTAGTTCTGGGGAGAAAACATATGACCTGGCATGAAAGAACCTGCATTACTGTTTCTTCCTTCCTTAGCTTCAGGTTTTCCATTATTAAAATTGAAGCAATTTCTTCTTTATA